AAGGCCCAGTTAGGATATCCACATTGCTCTAGAGCCTGTTTTGTGTAAGATTTCTCCTTCTGCCTGGCTCCCGAGTTAGTGGGGATGCTGTCTGCTCTGTGATACAGAGTCCTGATGACTCCTAACTTGTGCTCCAAAGGGTGATGGGAAGGGTGAAGGCTGAATGTCCAGAGGACCAGATTGAACTTTTTTGGATTTTTCTACCTGGATTATTGAGCATGCATCAGGATATACATCTAAATGTTTCCCAATCAGCACTACCAAAACACCATTTCTGCAAACCACCTGTCTTATATTTTTCAATATCCAATTTTATTTCTGTTATTATGGGATAGTGGTCGCTTCCTATTGTTGTATCTTTAACTATCTTCCATGTACTTATTCCTGCTATTGAATTTGATATTATTGTGAGGTCAATTGCCGATTCCATAGCTGTTCTCATATCAACTCTTGTACCCTTACCATCGTTTAAACAGACAAGATTTTTATTTTCCATTAATTCTTCAATAATTGTTCCATTACCATCATTCTTAGTACCCCACAATGAGTTATGTGCATTAAAATCACCGCACCAAAAGATGTTTCCATTTAAATAACTATTGAGTTCTTCCATTAATTCATGTGAAAGTCTTTTGCAAGGATTGTAAAAATGTATTACTTTGATGCTTTCCTTCCTGTTCCAAACTTCAACAACTAAATATTCTAAATGAGTTCCTATTGCTAACAATCTAAAGTGCATTCCTGTTTTTACAAATGTTACACATCCCCCTCCATGGGTCTCACTTCTATCTCTGCGTACACCAGTATATCCTCTAATAACAAAGTCTAAAGTTGGTTTGAGCCAAGTTTCCTGAATACATATTATGTCTGTTTTTTTGTTAAGATTTTTAATGAAGCCTTTAAATTCTTGTCCATTTGCGATTAAACTTCGAGCGTTCCACTGTAGAATAATCAGAGTGCCCCCTCTCCTGATGTCCCTGACTTCCCGATTCCCCCCAGTTCTTTATTAATATGCTCCCATGAAATGTCTTTTATACCAAAAAATTTCTCTGCTCCTTTAACTATTATTTTAATTTTCTCTGTTTTGTACTTTACCTGGTCTGCACAGTTAATCACATACACAATGAACAACATGATCCTCTCCACTGTAATTGTAGGTTCAGTTCTCTCTTTTGGTAACTGGGATGTTGGGTTTTGTTGTACACTCATCTCTCTCTTTCCAGTTTGTTCTTGAACTTTTTTCACCGCTTCAGCAAAGCTGATATTATTGACCGTTTTCATTTGTTCCACTTTAATGGCCTTTTTCCTAATTTCACATCCTCCAAAAGTCACTCTATGCTGTCCCACACAATTACAACATTTATCTTGGGCATTGTCACCACACACTTCATATCTGTGATCACCCCCACATTTTGGACACCTTTGCCGTCCCTTACACACAGCTGCAATGTGTCCATATCTTTGACACTTATAACACCTGAGTGGGGAGGGACATAAGGCCTAACTGGAAAGCTCATGAACCCGATCTTAATCTTCTCTGGAAGTACATTATTTTGAAATTCAATCATTATCGACAGGCTTTAAGTTCTTTCTCCATTTATTGTTCTCAGCAATCTTTTTATGTGATTCACTTCTGCCCCCTGAATGCTCTTTTTAAGCTTTTCTAGATCTTCATTTACTGGTATTCCTGTTATCACGCCCCTCGTTACTTTCTTCTCTCCCAAAATCCTTTTCTCGCTCACATTTTTTCTACAAATACTTTCAATATTCAGTGCTTTATTTTTCTGTTCTTCAGTTTTACAAATGACCAGTATACTCCCATCTCTAAGTGTTTTTGCAAAATAAATATCTCTAATCTTCTTTTTGAGTTCTTTTGATAATGCAATTGGACCCAGCTGTATGTTGTTGTCTTCCTCTTTAAATTTTAGAATAACTTTAATTTCCTCTTTAACAATCTTTTTGCGGACCACAGGTGTCCCTTCATCTGAACTATTTTCTTCCAAAGTCCTTTTACTAACCTGTGCCCCAACCAAACAATCATTTTCTCGCCCGATTCTTCCTCTTCTTCCACTAACAACTTGACTCCAATCATTTAAATCCATATCCTCATCATCTTCCTCACACCTAGGGACAATTTGGAGTTACCAATCAGCCTAACATGCATGTTTTTGGTCTGTGGGAGGAAACCGGAGTATATGGCAAGCCCTTTTAACATAAAATCGAGTAGTCTGACTATCTGTAGTTACATTCTAGATATCTTAAATTGAGTTTTGACTAGGCACAATTACATTTTGACTAGTCAGAATGCTAATTTAAGATATCTCGAATTACATTCTGACTAGTCAGAATAACAATTCAAGATATCTTGAATTGCATTTTGACTATAGTCAAAATGTAATTCAAGATATCTTAAATGACGTCACCTGATTCGTCATTTGACGGGTCAAACATCCGTAATTACAATTCAAGATATCTCGAATGTAATTATGACTAGTCAGAATGACACTTTTAGATATCTTGAATTAAGAAATGACGTGTAGGACCCGCGGCTGCTACTTAGCTGTTCAAACAGCTGCCTGCAGAATTTTGTGTGGCTGCAATGGCGCTAGCTGTTCTGGACAACATTGTTAGAAAATGCCACAACTTCCTGTGGCTCTAGTGTTAGTGTTAGACAGTGAGGAAAATGGCTCAGTCTCTGCGCTGTTGTTTTTGTTCAGTTCCTGGTTGTTCTTGTGGGGCAAGAAAACCACCGTATCTGTCCTACCATGCTTTACTACGCTCTCACAGCCTGCATGAGTCACCATAATTAGGCAGTGTCTTACCTGAGAGAAGACTGGCTGGCTTTTGGATTTTTGTATGTGAATGTGAGGCCCATGTTTGTTTGTTTTGCAATTCTTAAGTATTATTCTTATTTATTTTTGTTAATTTCATATTTATATTCCAGGTTGAAGGTGACAGTTGAGTCTCGTGTAGGTTCTGTTCCACAGTGTTTACTTGTAAACAAACCCAAGTGTCTTTTCTGTGTATAAATTATGTCCTTGGGTGAAAGTCCTTAGGTGGTGTTGCAGTAAGTTTATAAAATAAAAACAACATCCATACCCAAGGTTGTCACATGTATATAAATTGTTCTAGTGTTACGTAATTACCGGTAGAGTTTGTTTTGAATTATTTTAAACATTCTTCAATTAAAACACACTTGAGCAGCATACTGTACTGTTTTTTTTTTAATTTGTGGATTGATTCAGTTGAATTACAAGGAAAACAAGTGCAATTTACAATATCTAGTAAAAACAAAAACATTTAACTATTTAAGTTAACATTTTATAACTGTACACTATAAATTGATAGTGGATTATAGATATTTTATCAAATTATGTAATTTCAAATTAAATAAATTGGCACATTTATGTATTTTTCATGAATAACTATTTACAGTATTTACATCTAAAAAGTTAAGTCTGGTCCTCTGGACATTCAAAAAAACAAAACAAACAAAAAAAAGAAGGTAGAAACGTTTCGTCTTTCATCCGAAAGGCTTCTTCAGTCTGAGGTGCTGCTCAAAGTCACTTTTATTGTCAAAAACTGCAACATGTACAGGACATACACAGGATTGAAATTACATTTCGCTCAGACCCCGGTGCAACAATAACCATTTAACATTAAAACATTTATTAAACATAAGCATAAAATGAAGTAATAAATGGGTCACACATTTACACATGGTTGTCAGCAGCAAACTGGTTGATCCACTCTGAGAAGGTGCTATTTAAGAGACTGAGCTGAAAACAGCACCTCAGACTGAGGAAGTCTCTTGGATGAGAGACGAAACGTTTCTACTTTTTTTGTGTGTTTGTTTTGCTTTTTGAATGTCCAGAGGACCAGACTTAACTTATTTTAGATTTTCCTACCTGGATCATTGAGCAGCATCAAGATATAGTATTTACAGTGATTCACAGCTTGAGACTGATTAAAAATATGAAGGAACAAAAGGGTGATTTATAAATTTTATGTTTCTTGCTGCATTGATATAAACACATGGATGAAGGTGTTGAAGTAAAACATGTCCAGTTTAGACTTCATCTGATCAATCAATCGATCATCAATCCATTCATCACACCATACCCGTTCAACAGTTATTGTTTAGTGTACCCGCTGATCATCTTAGCTGCCAGTGCTGTCAGCAGACTCCTCCTCTGCACTTCCTCTGTAAGCAACACGGAAAGCGTAAACAGCTAGTAGTAAGCCTTGGTTGTCGAAGCTGTACCCACGCGGGACATATGGACTGCTCCCTGGTTCTGGCCTGTACTTCATGTGACACTTGCAGAGACTGAAGATGCATAAGTTGATCGAGTGTGGGCACAAAACACATGTTGGGAAAACTATGCAGCATCGAAGGAAGAGCAGGGAGGTCTGGAGCCATGTGGTGCAGAATGATGCTGCGCAGAACTTCTCAGGTGGGCACTGGTGAGACCCCAGTGAGCCCCGTGGCACAGGACCAAGTCTGGATGGTACCAGCTCCAAAGCTGAGAGACCTTCTCTAGGATAAGTGTGATAAGTGGTTGGGACTCCAGCTGGTGTAGTTTTTCTCCCGATGCCAGGATGTCAGGATCTGGAAGTGGTCCTACAAACACACGAGTGACAGAATCACAATAAGTTTTGACAGTTTGGACATAAAAACATTAACCCAAAGGTTATACCTGTGAAAGCTCTGTAAAGCGTGAAGTGCAAACATCTTTTCACCAGTTTTGGGCTTTCGCACCACCACCACCACCTCGCTGGCAGGTTCAGGATGGATTCCCTTTCAAGAAATAAACATAAAATATGTCAAACTAAAAAATAAATAAATGTAAAGGGACAAGTGAGCAATTTGGTAGGACACAGTGGGACAGATTTGAGAGTTAAGATTTTTACGTAACTTGCAAATATTACTAATTCATAGAAGTTGAACCTGCATTTATTCATTACCTACAAAAACAAACAATTCTAAACAAGTTAGGAGAGAAAAATATATTTGACACAAGTAATATTGAGACTATGACAAATTTCACATGGCACTAATAATATACAGGTGGGAAAGTTATTACAAGTATTGATATGAGAATCATAACCATCATATACTAAATAATATAACAGAAAAGAATGTGTTCCACTCTTAGTTTATTTTTTTACCTGTGTTCTTTGTCTGTGCCTTCTTTGTAAATCTCTTGTGCAGTCCAGTACAGGAGGAGACTGTGGAGACAGGAGGACCAGTTGGCAGCTGGAGTTGGGAGTAGTGGGCAGTCTGGTAAAAAAAAAAAGTGCAACTACATGGTTACAAAAACCTTCACCAGCTGCACTTCTACAGAAATAAGCCAACATTTCTTTTTTCAACACCCAGTGAGATCTAAAATAGATCTGATTTTAGCACACACACACACACACACACACATATATATAATTAATACGTGTTATAACATATTTAGCTTTAAACAAGTAATAGATTGTATAATAGATGGATTCACTTAACACATCAACTTACATATACACAGCACGCTACATACACACATAAACATATGTTTGGCACTAATGGAACCTCATAAAAATATAATTAAAAAATTTATATCATGTCTGTATCAAACACTACAAATAATGTAGCACACTAAATTAGGCTTCTTTATCACGATGTTTATGCGCTTCATATGTTGTAGCTAACGGTTAGCTCGCTAAGCTACGTCTTTTCTTACCTTGACAGCTGTGGAGATTTTCTTCAAGGAAAAACTTTTGTCCTTTCACGTTTATTAGTTCGAGAATTCACCGCTGCGATTTCCTCCTCAGCAGTGAAAAAAAAGATTGGCAAATTAAGCAAAGATGTTGAAAAGAGAGCCATGTCTCCTTAGTGAAAAGACTCGCAAAGCAGGAAGAGTCGGTTTCCGGTTGTCGTGAAAAAGACGTCGCAAAAAAGTCTTCTCGTTTCAGATACAATAAATAATCCGAGCTGCTGCGCTAAAAATCATGTTAAAAATACGAGCGTTGTGTTGGACTGACCTGATTTTGCAGATTATAAAATAAAAAGGCTACAATGTCATGATTTTTCCGCCAAATTGCTACGTAAATCTGTGACGTTTTGACTAGTCAGAATAACAATTCAAGATATCTTGAATGTCATTCTGACTAGTCAAAATGTGAATTCAAGATATCTTAAATAGAAAAGCCGTCTACATGATAAAATATTCAAGATATCTTGAATTCGTTTTGAGATATCTTAAAAGGAATTTTGACTAGTCATAAGTACAGTTCTAGATATCTTTAAGTTAGTTTTGCCTAGTCGTTATTTGCTTTCAAGATATCTACAATTTAATTTGCACTAGTCAAAACTTCATTTTTGATATCTACAAATACATTTAAGATATCTTGAATAATGACGTAATTTAAGATATCTTTAATTGTAGTTATGACTAGTCAGAACTAAAAGTGAGATATCTTGAAAGCAAATAAT